ATTTGGCATTTCTTTAGGGGTTCATTTTTAATTTCGTTAGTTAGGGCTCGTTTGGGGTGTCATTTAGGGTTTCTTTAGGATTTCACACGCATCAACTCACATAGATATAGTAGGAGGCCAGATTCAACAAGTGTCCTGAGATACTTTTTTCAGACATAAAAAAAGAGCCCGTTAGGACACTTGATGTTGAAAAAGGTTGCAGTTTCTCTCCGATAAGCATGCATATAAACTCAAAGGTACACAGGGAAACTTCTGACTGCCATGCAACCATGGCGAAACACAATTCAAGCAAATATAGTTGGAGAACAACAGTTCAACAAGTGTCTTGAAATAGGATCTTAAGAACTTTAGGAACAGCAAGTAGTTGGGACACTTGTTGAAAACAGGTCTCAATTCCTCTCACAGCAACATGCATATAAGCTCATATTACGACTGACTGTAGTTTCTGTGCAGTTTACAGTACATGCAATTTATATGCAGTGTATTCTATGAAATTATGAAATGTTATATGCAAACAAAAATACTACACATACATTCAACAGAAGTGCGGCCAAAAGCCAAAAGCCAAGTGAAACCAAAGCCAAAAAAAACAACAAAAACCAAAAACCAAAAGCCAAGAGTCAAGTGAAGCCAAAGCCAAAAGCCAAAAGCCAAATGGGCATGCAAATTGGCTCCAAACTGCAGCAAATAGCACGCAAATCAGAGATTTTGGCTCCAAAATGCAGCAAATACAAGCCAGAAGCCAGAAACCGAAGGAGCCAGAAGCCAACAGCCAAAAGCCAGAAGCCAAAAGCCAGAAGCCAGAAGCCAAAAAAAAAAATGCAAAAAAAAATTGCTTCTCCAATCCAAAATCCTGTTTGGAGCTCAAAACATGTTTTTTGCTAGAACGGTTCAAAAGAAACACGTGGAAAACGATTGACTAAGCTACCATTTTTCCTATAATGAGCAACCCCCTGCCGTATGCTAGCCTATGCTCCTCCATGCTGCGGTATGCTGATGGCATCTCTTGATGATTCACAAGGGCCATGCCAAGTGCAGGGAGCCTTTGTGACCAATACAAACAGCCGTACGAATCAATGTACTCTACAATGGTGGGTATGGTCCTGCTACAAACGGAAACCCTATGTAAGCTTTTTACACCATACGACCGGTGTTTGAATTTGGCTGGTGACTTGACTCCCTCAGGGTTGATTTCAAGCCATCCATCCAAAACAGCCTCGCCACGCTAGAACCATGCTACGCTCATATGACGCCAAACAGTGTTCATTCAGAAACCACAAAGCAGAATCCATCACTGGAGTGGAAAAAAAACCGAGGAAGGTGGCACTGAAACAGAAAGTTCCAGTGCCTCTGAAGCAAACAAAAACACCGGAAAGGCCCAAGTCATTGTTGATGCGGTATATTCCAAAATGATGGATGGTTTGCTGAACCAAAATTAAGAAACCAAATAGCATTTGGCATTTCGAGAAAACATGTTGATTGAATTATTGATGACTTAAAAAAACATAAGCCAACCGAACAAAATCCGCATTCCAGCACCAGAAAAAGGCGGCAAAAAGGATGCCATGCCTTGCCAGATCCCAGCATCCTTCAGACGGAGAAACCTCATCCGGAATGGCACGGTGCTGATGGAAATGGTGGGCTCCTCCATCCATGGAATCCGTAGCAGGGGTCTTAAACCCGGAAGATGTAGACATCTCTTGAATTCAATCTGTCATGTGTCATGCGGGTGCATGAAAGGACATTCTGATTCCTATAACTGGAAGTTTCACCTGCGAAACAGGAAACTGAACCAAAATGACCTGCCGTACCACGTTGGTTATCATATCCCCTTTGTAATATATGACGGGTTCCGTGGGGGGCCTGATTTCAAAGTCTTAAAACAAGACCCCCCCCCAGGGCAATTTGGACATGAACCTCTTTAAGATGAAGCTGCGGACAGGCGCAAACAAAATCAACTCTGAAATCAGGTGGCCCAAGGAACCATTGGGCACATTCATTTGTCTCAAAGTAGACCTGAATAAAGTCATACCTCCCAAGTCAAACAAGTTTGGGATATTATTTTGCTTATGCCCTGACCCTGGTATCTGACTGACTGTGGCGGTGATGACTTATAGTGCCAAAAGGTCTATATATGTGGACCCAAATTTACCCCCCCTTCCAAACAAAGAACATCCAATCAGCGCTCAGCACAAGCCTTGCACTCAATCAGGTTTGTCTTTTGACACGTCTTGCACATCTTGAAGCAATTCTGTGTTATGCATGACGCATGCAAAGAGATGCTTTCGCATCTTTCTCCAGATCAGTTCAATTTACTGTTATAGCCGTAGCTGCTTTTCTGTATCATCTAATTTTGAATCTGTACCATCTATACCATCACTTGTTATGCCCATGTTGGGCCATCTTGGCCCTACTTTGGGCCATCTAAACAATTGTTCATCTGGCACCTGGTGCCCCAGATGAACACGCTTATTTTGGGTCCACTTGAGGTATGTTGGGCTTATTTTTTGCCGTCTGTGGTTGAAATAAACTCCCGTCAGGGGGTATGTTGGGCCAATGTCAGGCCAACCAGAGGCTAATTTCCTGCACACAGTGACCATCCTTGACTCTCCACCTAAAAACTTCCAGGGGGATGTTATAATGATAAGCCCCCAAACGAATACATAGAAGTACCTGGGATGATCTCTCAAGTCAATTCATGCTGGGTACCGTCGTTGGTGTATACCCTCCAATTTGCCACTGCAGGGGTTCTATGGGTTCTATAGCCCTCAGTTCATAGATATTTTCCCCTGTCAGATCCATCACCAACTCCGACTGTGACCCGTGGCTGCGCGCCTCTGCGGTGGGGCAGGATGCTCCTGTGGCTGGCAGGATGCTCCACCGGTCGTTCCGGAACGGGTTTGGTTCGGTTTCTCAATCGAACAATGTTGACCATGGTCAACGAACCGCCAAAAATGAGGACCAGGAAAAACATCGCAACACATTGACACTCACAAGATGTATGCGCGCATGCGATGAACTCTACGATTGAACAACTTCACGGGAGATTCAGCCTGAAACGGTCAAAGTTCTGCCCCGCAAAGCTGGCCGAGCCTTGCAACGATCGAGCATTGTGTGAGGGGAAAAGTGTGGAGGTTTTGAGTTTTCTCCAAATACTAAATGAATCTAAATGAATCATGGGTCAGCCAGGTCATGTAATGTCATGTGCATAATCTCATGTATAATATGTATACATACATCCTTTCATCCCATGAAGGTCTCTTGCACGGAAATGAGTTGGAACCTGGTACGGAAAGAGCATTGATCCTAGGCTAACAATGTCAGTTATTTGTTTTGACTGTTCATTGTCCATGAATGTCATCCCGGCTGCTTTGACGGTTGGCAAAATTCCAAGACCCACCTAAACCCCAAACTTTTGAAACCCATGACAAAGAACCTACTGAGTTATGTACTCAGATTGATCCATGGAAAAGATTATATATAAATGTTGAGACTGTTCAAAAGTCAAGGAAACTCGGACAAAATTCGAGCAGGGTTCCATCCGCCGCTCAACTTCCAGAGTTGCAGTTGTCTTTCCGAAGATTCAACGCAGGCCCCATGGAATCCCACCCGTGGCCCCTCGGAGCTTCAGCCTGGGTCGAGTTGTCAAACATCCTTAGGACGGCTGGCAGTGAAGCTCAAAAGAAGTTGGTTCAACATGGTTCAACATGGATTTCCTGCCCTGGAGCTTGGAATGGTCCCAGGTAATTGGGATAAAATCAGATTAAGGTTCAGCTCGTTGTTCACTGGAAAGGTTCAGACGGGTGAGCAGAACGCTGTCCTTGCAATAAAATTATGTTTTCTTCCATGCTACAATACTTGCGACTGGGAGAATGGATCAGCTCGTTGCTGAGGGTTGAGAGGGGCAAGACGCATCCCTTACAATGAAATTATACGTTTTTTCTTCTATGCTGCACTGTGCTGGGTGTGACTTTAGGCCAGTGTGAATCAAAGCAACGGGCTTTGCACCGTCCAGAACCTTGATACGAGTATGGCCTCAAATATGATCTATCATGTCTGCATTCCTTTCAGTATCTCGTTCATGCGATGGACAATCAAACACATCAAGGTCCAAAATCAAATCTACAATGACTTCCATAGAGAATCAAGTTGCTTCATGTTGTTTGCATGTTTGGCACATCCAAAATCAAATGCTCTCAGAAGTGTTTATTCTCTAGAACATGTCCAGGCATAGGCTATCGTTGAAGCTGTTGTTAACATCCCTGGAAAATCTAACCTGCATACATATATACGTATATATATATATATATACACATCTATATATATATACATATATATATATATATTAACTATATATAATTATATCATATAATCAAAAAACATTAAATAACTATAAGACTATATTTATATACTCTTGGAAAATAATGCCTCCTGACATGGGGGTGTAGCTGAATTGTCGGTGGACATTCTGTGGGCTGAGAACCGTTTTCGCTGTGTATCTGAGCCAGTCGCAGCTCCAGCAGATTTCAGCACCATGGAAGTTCAACACCTGCCGCTTCGCCATTCGGAGCCGCAGGACATGGGGACTTTCTTGAAGGGTTGACCCAGCGGAAATGGGCTGATTCAGCCCGGGCACAAGGGGTGAATACTAAGATTTCTGTTGGCCAATTATGGTAGTTGCCATTAATTACCGGTAGTTCGTTGTTCCATGGGCTTCAAACTGGCTGCAGCACAACCATTATTTATGTCTAATGATCCCACCATACTGTGGCTGGCATATGCTGCACCGTGCTGCACCATGCTGTCCCGAAGAACTGGCCGCCGCCATCAATCAAGGTTGGGCCCGTTCACTCCAAAAGTAAACTATTCCGCCATGGTTCCGTGAGCATGAAAGATATGAAAGCCAAAGCACAAAATCACCACCTGACCCAACCCCTGCCGAACCCGCGCCTATCTTTGCACACTGGAGAAGCTTCTGCACAGCAAGACAATGTCACATCTCATGGTCCTGTGTGGCCAACCTGCCCCAACTTTTCAAGAAGCAGTTGGCCTTTCTCTTGGATCTCAGAGTTGCAGCTGCTCATTGCAGCGTTGATGACGCCAGCAGCCAGGAGATTACGCAACTTTGCTCTTCCCTCACTGCTCTCGGCTAAATTTCCCAAGGCTTGAAAAGCCCACCATTGCACACCAGTGCTGGTTGTGTAGTTTCGCAGAGCCTTCAAAACGGCCTCACCTGCTCCAAGACTCAGAAACTCCAAGACGTTCTGGTGTTCCGTGGTCAATTTAGCCAGCGCCACGCAGCCTTCCTTTTGCACCGCTTCATTGCTGCAGTTCTCCGTCATGGCCCTCAAAATAGCCTCAGCGCCTCCCAGCGTCATCAATGTCTCTTCGTTTTCCGGTCGGTTCAACGCCAAGTTCTTCAAGCACCACACGGCTTGTTCCTGCACTTCCGGGCTGGACAAGTGTGCATCCATGGCGCACAAGACAGCTTGCATACAGCTGGCGGCCGTCACATTTGCAGGGAGTTCGGAGCTCTTCTTTGGAAGGACATGGCGCTTGATGAGGTCACAGGTTTGGGCTGCCACCTGTGCCGATGCCTGGCCCTTCATCATGAGATCAAGCAACTTTGCCACATCACAGCCACTTTTCATCGTGAAGGGAACAATTGCCGCCACATACAACGGGATCTTTGCGTCACAAGAGTCGCAAATGCTTTGTGCTTCTTCAGAAAGGCAATCATCCCTCACAGCCACGAAATCATGGCTTGGAAGTTGGTGGGAACAGAAGCAGCGCAGGATCAGGAGTAAAGGCCATTGAATCACGCTAGAGGCAAGGAACAGTCGGAGGGCAAAGCCGTGTTCTTCCCACAATCCCGGGACTCCACTCCCAAATGCGTTGGCCATCCAGATCGCAGCCACCGACTCGGCGCAATGTAGAACTGCATGCAACTCCACATTAACCTCAGATCAGTGAGACTTGGAACCCTGGACATGCTATTTCAGTTTTATGTGTTCTTCAAAATCATGCACAATGCGCTGCTCTCACATGCTCGGCACGAAGCCCCGCAGAGTTGGGTTTAGCAGGGAACTTGACAGCGAATGATAGCGAGTGTTTTTCGTGCGTCATTTCGCAGTGTTCACCAAGTGTAACGATGATATGCCCCAAATTCCAACAGTAGCACGATTTCCACCATTGGCAGAGACATGCAAAGAACAAATCAAGGCCAGGAAGCAGAAAGCAAAGCACCTTCCCCGCTCAAAAGCAGTGGCTCGAACGAGCTGAGCGTATTGGGAATCGCAAAGAAGAGTTTCCAGCGATTCTCGGTGCAGTAAACCACCAGACCTGCTTGGAGAATGCAATCAGCGATCCATAGAAGGGAGCCCCCGTAAGCAACATGCCAAAGCTGAAGTTCCTTCCAAGAAGCGTCACTAAGTCAAAGCTGGACGTTGAGAATGCTGTGAACAAGACTTTCTGATTCACAAACTCCCTCATAATCAACAAAAACAAGGAGCAGAAATAGCCAGTCCTCATGCAATGCCAGCTGAAACAGCGGGAAAAGTAGCAATCGGCTGCAGACCTATGCGGCACCAAGCGTTCACTTGAAAAAAGGCACTACAAACCAAAGGCGCGGGTGGCTCCAAACACCGGACGGAGAGTACCCTTGAACCATCTCCACAAGGCTTTCGGGTTGGATTTCATTGGAATGAACCCTGCTCCATATTTTGGGGCGTCATGCTCCGCCAAATCGCTGAAATGCGATATGTCCCTCTGTTCAGCTAGGTCATAGTAAGGTTCACAAAATGCAACCGACCTAAAACAACCAGGCCTGCCCCGGTTCGGTTCCTGCAAGTGCCTCTTCCTCTCAGTTCATCTGAGGGCGCGGCCGCCAACCATCTGTAGAGCAACAGGGCGGCATACGCCACGGACTGCGGCTTGGCTAAGCCGACCACAACGGCCTGCCCCTGTCGATAACGACTTACATGACCGAACCTGCGGGGCAAGTGGTGAAAGCAACTCTTCAATGACTTTACTGCCTTTCTTTGATGAAGCCAGGTTGACAAAAACCAGTAGAACAAACTAAAGGCAAACGAAGAGTTTGGAATCTGGAAGATTTCACAAAAACGTTTCTCCAATCCAAATATCTTCGGCCGGGCCACTTATCGATCTTGGAGAAGGACTCACCAAGTGAGATCAGACTCAGCAGAACCTGAGGCGACAGGGCCAACTATCTAATCTAGGCCTTTCAATCCTGGACGTTCTGGATGCAGTTCGGACATGTAAAGCTGCAATCAATGCGGAAAAACTGTTGCAGCTTTGATTGGAACATGATTCAACTGCTCACGGAACAGCGGTCTCCCCTGGAAACCATGTATTCCTCACCTCCAAAAGGTCCATTGCAACACAAGCTGCGATCTCTTGGGGAGAGTTGGGGGGGATCTTCAGCCATCTTGGCATCAACCAATTGCACAACTGAGAAAATGAGATAAGTGCAGCTTGAAGAGGAGTCGCTAACTGACCTCCTCCATCAAATGACGCTTTTGGCCGAGCAGCAGAACATGCCAAGAGGGATGGCCACTGCAGTGGTCCGTGACGAAGTGCCGCGTACAGCTGCACAAACGAACTCAGCATTGCTTCCCCAAATGTCTCACCAATGATTGAGGAAGCCATCAATGCGGTGAGACCTTTATCTCTCAGCCGGCGGTCAAAGGCATCAGACTTGTATGTGGCAAATTTTGCATCTGCGAATTGCCAAAATGTGAAGAAGAAGCAATACAATGGTATGACATGCAGAAATGTTAGCACGGCCGTGCAGCCCCTTATGGGCTGCAATGCCTCGCTTGCACTGCCCATACCTGCAGATCCTATCACACTTGTGGTCACCAGTCCAGCCAGAATAGCCAAGGCATTAAGCGTGAAATATTGATAGTGCTGAGCTTGCCAGAATTTGCTCATGACCAAGGCATCACTGACCAAGTCACCATAGAAAAGCGCGACTGGCAAGACGACATGGACAGACATGTGGGTCAATTTTGTGAAACTTGTCTCCATGGCCTGAATCATGGTGCACCCGGTCTTCATGGGCGCCCACATGCCGGCAAGTAGAGGAAGCCCAAGAAACACCAGAAGGACCAGAAGGACCAGAAGTGCCCATGGCCAGTGGCTCAAGACAAATGTACACAGCAATGGAAACTGTACAAAGAGTTGCTCCAGCGCACGGAGAAAGTAATCAACCCAGATTTTCTGCAGAGCAGAAGTGAGATCCACAAGACTTTGGTGGAAGTCTCCCTGAGCAAGGTCAGAAATTGCCAGGTCAAAATTCAATCCCAGTGTTGACACTAGCAGGGCGCAGAAGAACAGCAGAAGCACAACCACACCTCGTGCCAGGGCAAAAGCTGCTTCGTTTCTCTGTCGGAGGAAATCCCATCTATGTAAGACAAACAGCTGCCAGTAACACAGCAAGAGTTGCAAATGGCCAATTAACTATATGACACATAACAGTACCGCTAGGAAAACATTGAGGCACCCACAGCTCGACATTGCGAAGCTGCGACAACTTCGAGACTCACTCTCCTCCTCGCTTGGGCGCAGAAATGCGGTTCACAAGTCCGGCTGGCAAACAGTGACCCCAGAAAAACGGCGCGTCTGCAAAACCAAAGCACCATCTGATTTTTCATTAATTACTTTTCTCCTCCCTCTTGAAGGTACCCAACATTGACAGACGAAACAATTGAGCTACTGCCGCAAACGTGGGATACAGCTTGCGGCTTGCAGTTTGGCCAAATTTTGCGCAGCCAAATTTTGCGCAGCCAAATAATATATTGCATTGACATGTCCCGAGAGAGCTTCAACAAAGTTATCCAATGCAATCTGCTGACCTCTTGAGATATCCAAATCCCGGAAGGTCACTGGCTTTGACTCCTGAACGACCCTGACACCATCCACACACGCCGAGCCATCGGAATCAGAGCCTCACCGCGACAAGGACGGAGGTTTCGGGGTCGTTTGGCCACGAGTTGGACGCAAGATGAAACGGAAATTGCAGAAACTCGATCCTATCTGAAAAAAAGTCTTTCATGGTACAAGATGGTACAAGCGCTAGCTGCTAGATGCCGCTAGTATTGGCATTGGGCCTGACCTCACAGATCATCTCAGGTGTCTCTTTTTTTTCGACTAAGGCACCGACAGCTCGTCATTGCGAAGCGGCAACTTCGAGACTCGCTCTCCTTCAAGTTTGGCAAGAGAAATACGTGTCATCAGTCCGGCTGGCGGTGACGACAGAAAACGTCCTGTCATGAGAACCAAGCATCATCTAAATTCATCTTTTTTAATTGCAGTTGAGATACTGCTAAAAGCATGGCCTCCGGTTTGGCGGCCAAAACTCTCTCTTGAATCAACATGTCGTCTGATACTTTCCACCAAATGTATTCAAGAGGTTTCAAATGCAAAGCTCTGCTGAATTCTTTTCGAAAGCCCCAGGAAGGTCGGCTTTGTCTCCTCAGAGACCGTGACATCCACCCACGCCGAGCCATCGGACTCGGAGCCTGGCCCAGTCTCCGGTCAAGGTGGAGTTTTCGGGGTCGTTTTCGGGGTCGTTTTCGCCTGTGGCCAAGGACCTTACAACAAATGGAGGTTTCTTAAACTGGGGATCCCCAAAACCATGGGTTTCAATATGGTCTATTATGGTCTAATTTTTCATGATTTGGAGGTACCCACTTTAGGAAACCTCCAAACAGCCAGTGGATCCTTCCCGAACAACACAGCAGGGGTGTTTCTGCATGGGATAAAACCATCGACAGAAACCTGGGAGCCACGGCATGTCATGTCGCCCCACCTGAGTCCTGAGCCTCGTTGAACTGTTGATACCGATGGGTGCGAGACATGGCTCCGGCAACAAATATGCACTCGACGAGCAAGATCCAAGTCTTATGTCTTTCAACACTTTACACACCGTCATGCTGCATGCTATAAAAGTGTCACTAGAGTGGTGTGCAATTTCTGAATTGGGACAAAAGGTGACTGAACTATTCGATGTAATTACCATCAAATCAGCATCACATCACATTGCACCAAGTATCTATCTACATGCAGTGGATTTAATTATCACCGGATCATCAATTGCATTCAAATATGGTGGATACCAACAATGCCGTATCACAGTCGTATCACCCTGTGCTGGATACCCATATCACTTCGCAAAGGGTTACCTGGATCACAGCCGTATCGGGCTTCATGGCCCGTACTCTAAATTCACCTCGTCATGGTGCTTGTGCCTACCCAACGCTTACAAGCGATGACAAAAAACATTCAACTCGAAAATTTGGCTTTGAAACTGGCGGCTCCTAAAACAACTCGTCTCCTGAGGCAGATGTATCCGTCGCAACTGGATTCCCTGAGGCCCAAAAACGCTACAAAGCGATCCAGGCATCAACAGTAGTCCACACAGCATTTCAGGCAAAGACATAAAACGCCTCGCCGTCTTTAGACCGTCAAAACCTGCTTTTCCTGAGGTCAGTTCAGCACACGTCTTTTTTTACTGAGGATGGTTCTTCGAAGGACCGATCGTGGGCCCCCTGAATGTGGGTGAAACATGTTGAAACAGGATACATAGATGATTGATAGATTCATGTGATCATAGCTGCTTTCGGCTTGATGTCAATCAGGCCTCATGCTGACAAGTGCAAGGCCTGCAAGTCAGCCGAATGGAATACGTCAAACGCAAATCCCGCTGGCAGCACAGTGCAGAGCTCAAGAGACCAAACCAACTCAGCGTGTTGGTATGAACAACTGTTACTTAAATGAGGGGAGAACATGGAGGTGTCTGGTGCTAAACCCAAGTGCAAGAACACGAGCAGAACCTCATAATTTTCTATCGCTCAAACTTCTGATCAAAAACTCCAATGCAGAACTTTTAGAGATTCAAAAAGACCGCCACTTGCTGCCTAGGAAAGGAAACCCTTGACAATGGAAAAAAACTCCGGGCCAGCTTTTTCCATCACAATAACTTGGAAACTGTGGTACCAGTACTGTAGAGATTCCCAGCTTGTCCTGGCAGTGGAATCGCTCCAGGTTGCGGCGACTCGCTCGGGTCTCTTCGTGCTCCGGCCCGTGCATCTCCTGCCACGTTGGCTGGCAGAAAGCCTGAACACCGAACGCGGCACCAAATGCACAAAAGAGGAGCAAGTGGGAAAATGATGGATCACGTTTCTTGCAAAATAAATGAAATTGTTCTGAACATGCTGTGTCTTTGAGTCTTTGATGGAATTCAACTAAAGGAGCCTTGACACATCTTGACACTGTTTTACCGACATGAGTCTGGGACTCCAAAGTCGACAGCTGGACTGATGTGCTCATGTCTAGAGTCCATGCCGAAGGCCACCAAGTGGCTATCGACTGTTCCCTTCTGACCCTTGCAGAAGCCTCCATGCCACGTAGCTCGCGGAGGTAGAGCTGCTCCGCCTGGACGTGATGCGGTGCACATGGTGGGTGACCACTGGGGGACCCGGGGTGGCGGGTTCCACTGTTCCATGTCTGGGAACTCGAAACAGCTAAGTTTTGGTTATGAAACATTTGGAAACCAAGGAATCAAAGTACTGTAAAGTAAAATTGAATGTACTCCACATGCCACAAAAACTTAACTTGAAAGCTTCAAAGAACATTTCTTTCACCAAGACTCTTGCCAGGACCAACAAGATCTGCTCGTTTCAGCAGGACATCACTGTTTATTTACCCTTTACTCAACTTCCCACATCTACATCCCCTCTAAGCAGAACCGCCCCAAGCAGCAACACCAGCCGACCGAAGCCTGCCTCTGCGAAGGAGCCTTTGGCCTCCAGAAGCTTTGCCAGATTCCAGACGGATTGGAGGGTGTCCGGATGCATGGGGCCGAGCTGATCTTCCCGTCCCGTCAAGGCCCTGCGATAGAGCTCCTCCGCCTGCAGGGTGGGTTGTGGATGGATGACAGCAGGGTGGCTTCCTATGCCGTGGCGAGATGGGCCTTGTGCTGTGATCCGCAACTGGTGAAAGGCAATGTGTTGTTGTAGTTCAGCCTAGGCATCAATTCACATTCCCAAATTGCTCTGGTGAAACTGGGAAAAGAAAACTCACCCGTCTCGTCCTGGCCACATGCGAAATGCCTTCCTCTCGCAAGTGCCAGGAAGGCCACTTCTCTGCACCCCAAAGACCTCCGCCCGGCCTCCTCCAACTTGCCCTGCTTCTCCAAGACAAGGGCCCAGTTGTGCACCGAGACGAGCGTGTCGGGGTGTTGGGCTCCCAGTTGGGACTCGCCGCCTTCCAAGGCTCGGCGGTGCAGCCCTTCCGCCTCGCGGCTCGAGGTGGAGCACTGAGGTGATGAAACATGGGGAACCCCAGCTCAGGCCCCATGGGTCATGGAAAGGGAAGAATAAGCCAACAAAGGCCACAATTTTTGGACTATAGTGAGAACATACTATTTCAAGCGCTCGTCAGGCACTCTTTGGATTCACGGGATGCCGAGAAGCATCAATTTATTCAATTTACTCACAGTGTTTGCTCACATTGCTGGCCCGCTCTCACGAAACAACCCTGGGGCGACCACGGAAGGGGCTACGGCTCGGATGATCGGTCATCATCTCAAACATTGTCAAACGCCCTCGAAAATAATCAACGGATTAAACCTGCTAAGGGCCTCGAAAAGCCCTGCCGAGCATGTAGGCAGGCTACATATGGCTAGATTGTATATAACAAGAAATACTCCCTTCACAGGTTCAGCTGAACTGGTGATGCTGTCACAATCAAACAGGTGCCTATGCGGCCAACTAAGATCATACATCTCACAGGAATTTGCAAACTTCAAAAGCCAATAGGGACGTTGAGCCTGTACCTGTTGGCAACATTTTTGCAAGCTGCGTTTTGTTCAGCGTTTTGAAGACTCTTCGCAAACCACTTTAACGTGCCAATTCACGTTCATAGCTTCAGACTTTCACAGATTCCTCACACAAACAACTGACACACGATCATTCCCATCTAGCTGATTTTGATCCTGCTGGGGGTACGTCACACTCCTGGGGCAGTCATTGCCCGCTTTCGTCATCGTTCTCAAATCAATAAACTGTATATGTGGCCTCCGTCGCCCATTTGCAAATATGCTGCATGCGTTTTATCGTGATCCGGAAACTCTTGCACATAGAATCAAGAGTCTGGGTTAAATCCATTGAAGAGGTGCTGGTATCGTGAAGAAGGGTCTTACAAACAACCTTGGCTGACTGATTGTGTAAACACAAAAATCTAGGGCGTGTGTTGAACTGAACCAAATTAGTATTGACATCACTCATCATCACTATGCTGTTGTGTTTCCCAGTGTGACGTCACAAGCCGTACAGTTCTCTTTTGCCTAACAAACCCCAAAGATTCTTCAGAGTCTTGAGGTGATGAACTCTGTTTGAAAGGAGTTTGTACTTTTCTTAGTTTTCCGCTGAGCCAGTTAAAGTTAGATTGCGGGAAAATGCAAGCGGCTGATCGGCTCCCAAGGTTGACTCACCTGTTTTGAATTGGAGGACAGATCCTTGGCACCAACCCTGATGCACATTGCATGTATGGATTTCATGCCCGAGCAATTCAACTACTGAATTTGGGCGAAACTTAGGAGATGCACAAACTCTTCCACTCTCGCTTATACTTCAAAAAAAGCGCCTTCCCCTTGGAACTTCCACTGGGAAGGTCACCTTTCTGCCCCTGACCTCGGTCTGGCCTCTTCCAATTTGCCTTGCGACTCGAGGATGAGAGCGAGAACGTTCACGGAGATTAGCGTGTGGGGGTGGCTCGCTCCCAGCTGCGCTTCATGACCAGCGAGCGCTTTGCGTTGCAGTTCTTCAGCCTGGCGGCTCGAGGTGGCGCCGCTGCGGCACTACAAACTAGCAATGTAAGTGTCAGGCAATTTGTGTAGTCACTGCGGTATGCAAACCACCATATACAGTGTATATATATATATATAAATTATTATATATGTAAATCTCCATATATCAATATCAATCGCACAGCTTTCGTGGGTTGCCGGCTGCAACCAGGAAACGAGTGGGAACAGTATGGGGGTCCTGCAGATGTCATACTTTCATTCAGCATGCGCCTATATAGATATATTTACACTATAGCCATCTATAGGCCTCATTTGCAAGAATTCACCGGAAAGATTTGACAGTTTTGCCATGTGTTCATTTTGCCGATTACAACTATGAAATGTGGATGGAGGTCCCAACGATGTATTATGCCCCAAAAAAGGTAATCCAGCAATATTGGGAAATTGACAAGAGAAAATCCAGGCCTCAGGCCTTGGCCAAACAAAAATATGCCCTAGGTGAAACGTCCAGTAAGGTCACCTCTCACCCCAAAGACCCTCAGCCCCGCCTCATCCAGCTTCCCCTGCTTCCACAGGAGGGCAGCCAGGTTGTTCATGGAGAACAGCGTGTGCGGATGATTCGCACCGAGGTGCGCTTCGCGCGCTGCAAGAGCTCGGCGATGCAGGGCCTCCGCCTGGCGTCTTGGGATGATGGCGTCGGTGGTGTGGGGCCCCAGGCCTGGATCCGCCTGTGAGTACTATGTGACCATGTGGGAAAGGAAGAAAGATGAACAATGGCTTTGTGTTTGGATTGTTTGGATTGATGAAAAAGATGTCAAATACAATTGTGCCATGTAAGACATAATTTTGCTAACTATGAAATGTGGATGGAGGTGCAAACAATGTATTACGCCCAAGAAAGCAATCCAACCAATATTGGGAAATCGAAAAGAACAAATCCAGGCCTCAGGCCTTGGCCAAACAAAAAAATGCCCTTGGTGAAACATCCAGGAAGGTCACCTCTCTCCATCCAAAGACCTCAGCCCCGCCTCAGCCAGCTTCCCCTGCTGCTCCAGGAGCGCGGCAAGGTTGTTCATGGAGATCAGCGTGTCTGGGTGATTCGCACCGAGGTGCGCTTCGCTCCCTGCAAGATCTCGGCGGTAAAGGGCCTCCGCCTGGCATCTCAGGATGGCACCATGCAGTGGTGTGGGGCCTGCAGGCCTGGATCTGCCTGCGAATACCATGTGGAAAGGGAAGAAAGGTGAGCAACGGCCTTGAGTTTGGACTGATGAAAAAGATATCAAGTACAATTATACCATATAAATGCACACATAGTTCAGAACTTGAAGAATAAAACGCAAAGTTCGACGAGTTGACATTTCAACATAATTTGGATGTGCATCATCGTTTTTCCAATCTTCCATTTGCAAATAAACTCCAACCTCAGGGTGCATCTGTTCTGTGATTTTTTGCAAAAACGCTTTGACAGCCTCAGACATCTCAGACTGAAACTTGCAACGCGGCATCTGTTCTTTGCAAACATCTTTTGCTAAACTTTGACATGTCCATGTTTTGGCACGTCCATACATGACGTGATTTGAGATGATTTGAAATGATTTGCGTAAAATTGACATGTTCATGCATTATCGCACTTCTACATAGATGACAAAATTTTGGGATGATCTGAAAATGTGGTTGTTGTTTCCCTGCATTTTTCCCAACTTGGCCCAACACAAAATGCAGCACCATGCACCCGCCACAGTGACTGCAGCACAGCACATCAGCGGCGCCTCGCTGAACTTCCCCAGGCGCTTCAGAACGAGCCCCAAGTTGTTCACCGCTTCGAGCGTCCAGCGGTGCTCGGGGCCCAGCTGCCGCTCTGTGGCCTCCAGGACTCGGCGCCGCAGCGGCTCGGCCTCGGCGAAGGCGCCGCGGGCCTCCAGCACGTCCGCGAGCCTCGGCCGTGGAGCGCCACGGGAGCCGGCAAGTTCCCACGGCTCCGTGGGGGAGAGAGGGCACTTTTTTTACTAGTTGTGGTGGCGTGGCATATTTTTGGATCCAAATCTCTGGTGAGAAAACGAGATTCTGGGATTCGAATTGTTTTGATTTCACTTGAGCAGTTGCTATAGGCTATACTTATTGATGCTGTTTGATGCTATTTGATGCTATATTTGATGCTTGTTGTAAATACTGTTGCAATCTACGGCTTTCACTTTTGCAGCTTTGTGGGATTTCTGGATGCAAATCTCTGGTGACAAGACAATACAGTCTTGACTCAACAATACATGTTTGCTAATGTGTTGGTCTCTTTGGAGGGACTGAGATCCGCACCGGCTCAGTGCCAAAAGCGCTTTGTCGTGCTCAGGGCCCAATCTTCTGGCTGTGGCATCTGCACGGCACCGCAGCCTTGGTCCATGAGGATGTCTATCACATGGCGGTGCGGTGGCCAACCATGTCACCAACTGCTGTTGATCAACATGGAAGACAAATCAATTTCAAGAGAATGGCAAGGTTCGCAAAATGGCCAAGGTGTGGGAAAACTTCCAGCTTCAGTCAGAAGCTCCCTGGCTACTGGGCTGCAATCCATGGCCCCTGCTTCAAATTACGCGTGAGGGCGGGGGGGGCAGGTTTTTTAAATTGGCAGACGTGTGTCCTACATGGAGCGGGAAGATTCAAGTCAACTTATAACATATAGTCAAATGACATAGCAAGGCCGAATATAGCCGATAGATGCTATACAAGTCGAAGTGGGCCGTACTCAAGAAATCTCAGAAGGAAATGTCGCGCGGGCACTCCTGAAAGAGTTTCAAAGTTCCAGAACCTGAGTGCACGCCTTCTCCACATCTTAAAGTGAATGTTCGCAAGATCAAACATCAAGCGATTCTGCTCCATGCCTTTACTCCCTGATACTTTCAAGTGCAGGACAAGGCCCGAGCCAGGACAAAACGATGCTTTTATGTTGCGCTGTAGCTTTCTAGATCTGGAGTGCAAAATATTGGATTGACAAGCGTGCCGGCTCTCGAAACAGAGCTTGAGCTTCGTGGTTTCTGTTTGGTATCCTGTATCCCGCCACGATCATTATACTTTGACCCAAAAGGAAAGGTTCCATAAACTTGCCAGGGAGCGACATGACCAGAGATCCCGGAAGAAGGAATTCGGAAAGGCAAGATGAGAGCAAGAGAGCAGCTGAAACAGTCCGCACGGCTGCATCAAAAACACTTGAAACTTTTGAAATCATGTTGGTTCTGGTCCAAATCGACCAAAGGGACCAGTGTGCATCTCGAACTTGAGAATTCATGAAAAGCCAAAAACTTGTCAGCGCTCTGGATCATTTTTCCAATAGAAGTCTTGAACTCGCCCCACCTTATTAAACCCTACTGGACGAATGCTAACCCCTGGATATGGCAAGCTCAAAGGGCCAAAACCCTGGATTGAACAGCCATAACCCTGCATATAGCAAGCTGGCTCAAGACCCAAGCTCCAAGCCTGAAAGCAGCCAAGCTTCGTGTCCAGCAGCACTGCGCTGGCGTGGCCCACTTGCTCCTCACTTTGCAGGCGAATCACGATGCACTGCCTCTCCGGCTGCTCAGGTTCATTCAGCAGCTTTCCAGCCAGGTTCCTGGGCAACGGACTTGAAAGATCTTGAAAGCAATGTCCAAATCATAGCCCTGTCAATGGCGTTTTCATACGAAGCACGTAGTAGCTGGGTCCCTGACACACCGGGAGGCTTGCCCTGGCCGCGCAGAGTAAAGATGAGTTACAAGCCAAGTGCTGCAGAAAATGTTGAGACAAAACCCGACACAAATCCGCATTGGTTCAGCTCCGGGCAAAGCAAACAAATGCTGCCTCCGTCTGCATCTCTGGCGTCTGCTGAGTCGAGACATCAAAGCACTTGGCAGCATTGACCAGAATTGGGATGCAGTAGGCTACACGCGCCGTGTACTCCTGCGCGACTGGATCTAAATTTGTTCGTCTGTCCAAACAATAGCAATACTGAAATATGCGATTTGCACCACAATGATGTGAAAACCTAAGAAAGGCACACTCTCCTTGTCTGCTGTCTCACGGCCTTTCGATGCAACGTCACGCCTGTGCATATTCCTAAAGTTGTTATCGACCAGCGTTGCCACGTCTGGCCATTCGTGGGGCGCCCTTCTCACACTGTAAACGCCTCGTCAGAGTTGCTATCAGTGGACAAACAGGTTCAAATTCAAAGAATAGTCTCCCAATCACAGACAAACAACACACGCAAGCAGCGTCCTGTGCATGCCCATAGACGCTCAAGCAACCGCTCGCATGTTTTCAATTGTGAAAGTTGCTGCAAAATAGTGGCTGCGCAGAAACAACTAAACTTGCCTTGTCCCCACCACGCATTGGCCGTTGGACCTTCAGTCACAAGGGAAGCCTTGGGGTCGTCAAGAAGTTTGTGGCTGTCAGCAAGCCGCAAAAGACACATGGCATCACATGACATGTTGATTGGGGACTGAGTGCAGTACGAAGACTTCAACGGCTTTCTTCTGTGGAGCCGTGATGTTTCGGAACCCTACTTGAGTCGTATAATGGAAGTAGCAGTGCACTTCGCCACTTCCACCGGACTGTGTGAGGTCCAGGGCATCCTGCCACACCTGCCCGGAAACAAAACTACGTCACAGCTTGACAACACGAAGCGCTTCAACTCACGGTGGCCGCGCCTTGATGCCGGAGCTCTTGTGGATCCAGCACCATTCGTCGGGGTCGTGTTCGTAGGCGTCGTGCTTGAAGACACCGCCGCCCTTGTAGTCGTTCCTGAAGTAGGCCCTGAGACTGGCCTGAGGAACCGCGCGCATGGCTTGTCAGCTCGGACTCCGGAAGCAGTCCAATGTTTCGGATGGAAAAGATCCTTCTGGGCATGGCGTTGGACCTATCAAAAGCTTACCGGCATCCTACACTGGAAGGCACACACTGCAATTTGAATACCCCTGGGTATGAACACCAGTGTAAACGACGGGTTTGATGATGAACTTGCATTTTTTCAAAGACTTAGTTTAATTAGCTCTTTCTTGGTCTAGTCAACACACCTTGCAACGTTCTGCTCAAACTATCCACTGCTAGTGTTTGCTTGCCGCATCTTTCAGAAATTGGAAGGTTACAAGCAGGAAGTGCAAGAACTTGGCATTCTTATCTGAAACCCTGTATTTGAAAAGCGGGCAAGCGTTCATCACATGCAAGATGGAAGTCGGAGGTTTCAACTGCAGAAAAAAAGCGATAAGTGGAGACTGATCTTTCAAAACCGTTTTTGTTCAATGCGTCTCAGGCACGCCAGACCCAACAGAGTTGCCCATCGTGAACAGCGACCTCAAATACTCTCTCAGAGTGGCCTGAGGCATCGAGCACGCTTCTAGAAACCCATAGTCATGACTTGTCCGTGCAGCTTCCTTGATTCCACAGGCAGTTGACTGCTTCGACTAGAAAATATCTTAATTACTGGTCATGGTATCATAGGCCCTCCTTTGAACCAGCATAAGAGCTTCCCGCAATAAAGACGCTGGAGGACACACATCGAAAAGGTCCACCGGTCCACTTTGGTTCGCACAACATCAGTTGTCAAGTGTAAAGGTCATTGTCATTAACATCGGATTTTCAAAGGGTGAAAACACTAGCTCAATGAGATTTGTGATTGTGGAATGGGCCGTTTCTTGAGACCTGAATACTTGAAAAGTGGACAAGTGTTCAACTCGCCATTGCTGCAATGAAGCTCTAGTAAGCACCCTTGTGGTGGTGAGAATGCTTTCCTCTTCTTGTATCTCATCCCGTTTGATAAACACTTGGAAATTGAAAGGTTGAGTTGAAGCCAGTCCAGGGTCTTGTTCACCACACATCCACTAGAAATCCACTAGAAAGTAGCCCAGTTGGGTGGCAGAAACCGATTTGGTATAACATAGCCGTGCAAGAGTGAGGGACGACACGGCACCTACCGACCTAGATATCATATCTTTGGATACCACGAGAACGTCAGACAGAGCAACTGTGCCCAGAGCCTCGGTCTTCGCTTTGGTTGCCCCGGCTCTGATGCCATCCCGCTGTGCCTCACATATGCTTTCAAGTTTCTGCGGTACTCAGGCTTGGTAAAGCTTGGAAGTTGAAAGATTGCCTCCACCACTTCAACCCCTCTTGGATCCACATCAGCCTGCTCAACACAGCTTCCACACCGGTTCTTGTTCACCACACTTTGAATCAAAATCCTTTAGATTAGTATAGATTAGTGGTGTCCAAGTTGCATAGTGGGTCGCAAGCAGGGAATTTGGACGCCAGAATTTGATCTGGTTTGAAGCTGTTGTCCGCTTGATTCCGGAGGTATACAAATGCCGCAAAAGATCTCAAAAGTGTGAAGGGCGAGAACGCGCCTCTACGGTCGAACAGTCTAGATACCATCTTTAGAAATAATTATCACCGGAATGTCAGACAAATCAAGCAACTGTGCCCAGCGATATGAGCCTCGATCTCCACTTTGGTTCCCTGTTCTGCACTTGATGCGAAGGGCCGGTCCATCTCCACTTGGAGGAAAGGTATCTGCCAAGCTGGGAGGTTGAGACCGAGTTGCAGCTGAACGGCTGCAGGAATTCGTCTTGATGTGCCATTCACTGTCGCTTCCTGCCTCGGTCTGGGCAGTCTCAGGGCCATCCAAGTTGCTCGCTGTTAGCGGCAACAACATGTCCTGGAAACAATCGACCGCCAGTGAACGTGTTGGAAGCTTGAATATGCATACATGTCTACAACTATGACCAATCAGTTTTCATGTCTGTGTATGTTTCAAGTATTTATATCATAAATATGTTGACATTTTTTCGAGTGTGCTGATTTGCCGTGCAGGCTTCAAGATCTGACGCGTGAAAAAAGACATGCCGTGCACTCATGTAAGTTGAGCCAAACCCCTTATCCCGGAGCTGAATGGAATTCTCTCCACCTGGGCAGTTCTTCTACGACTAATGCGGCAGCCCATTGTGAGACCTAAACGCGATCGAAAAGAGATTTGGCAAGGTAATCGAAGGGTAGTGAAGGCAGCAACCCTTCAGCCCTCTGTGAAGTTAATCCTGTTGTTGAGCAAACTGTCGCCAGCAGCAACTACAGTCGAAATGGGTTCTACTTGGCGGGTCCAATGACCCTTGCCTTCGAGGCAATCAGCAGCCATCAGTCAGGACAAGCACTGGGTTTGTCGTCAAATACTGAGTTTTGTGTCTCAAGAATTTGGTCAAGACTGCACCAAGAATTGGTTTGGGGCTCCGGCTGAGGTCAACAGCAAAAACGCTTAAAAGGAGGCTCTGCTTGGCGGGTTCAGTCCTTAGCAGCCACCCGTCAGGACAAGTGTGGCTTCATCCATTCTTTCATCATCTATTTTCATCTATTTTCTGTTGATTCTCATCAAAATGATTGCCTTTCTGACCCAAATTTTTTCTCGGGTTTCAATGATGAATACATGTGCTTTTTGAATGCTCCAGCCAATAAAGCGTAAATGATTACTGCGCGTCTGTTCCCATTCAATCATGCGTGATCAAATGTGAAATGCGCGCACCTCCTACATTCCAAAGTGATCAACGACAGGGCTGTGATTTCCACCCGAATCTTTCAACCGATCTTTCCAATGCAGCCATTTATAGAACCACCTGCTCTGTAGAACTGGTTCCACGTTGACTGGGCATCCCGGCTGACGCAGGGACTGGAAGGCCGGTGCAATGGCAAAACGCGCGCTTGGCAGTGCAAGTTGATTGAATTCTGGATCCAAAAATGTTGAGGCTGTCAAGGGGGATGTATCCCCACCCAACGCAACTGTCTGATTTCCTTCTGCTGGCTAAACGGGCAATGCAGCATTCGACCGAACGGAACAAAAAGCAGGGCCACTGAATGGTTTATTCAATTGAATCTGTTGTGTAAAGTGAGCGAATTTCTGGTGCTGGACTGTCTGCAAATATGGGTGTGTGTGTGTGCGCAACCTACATGACATCCAACATGCACCCAACACACAGCTTGCAGAGATTCATCTGATAGTCCAAAATGTTTGTCGAATCTGCTTGGTTGCCCCTGAATTCCTCAGCGTGTGCGTCAATCAAATCCAACTGGCTTTGTCAGTAGATTGCTTAGATCGTTGTCTATCGGGGATTTGCAATGGATGCACTTGCAGGGTGCAAGCTTCTGTCAGGCTGCTTAAAATGCTGCGGCGCATCGTCTGCAAAAGTGAAGAACTTTTCTGACTATCGCAGTGTTGGCAACTGCCTTCCTGAAGTGATGTTCTTCCTTGACTCTTGGAAGCTACTCCAATTTTCTCGGATCTGAATATCTCCGACCGCATCAGAAACATTTTGTTGCAACAAGGATGGACATATATTTTTCGCATCTTTTTGCTTCAGTGCGCTTGGATAAAGCGGCTGAAGCATCCCAATGGATCCACCATTTCAATGTCTGCCATTTTGGCAGATTCAATTCCCATGGCTGGTCGGAAACTCCCATGTTTTCCAATTTGTCAGCAACTCATGTTGTCGGCGTCGCCCAGAGCACCAGCCAGGCTTTGGCCAACATGGACAGTCACAGCCCAAAGCATGTTGAACCATGGAGCCAACCATCCCAAGTATGGATGGAAGATGGAAAATATGAGTCAAACCACTAACCAGTTAACAATTGCAGCGTTTTTTCGCCCTCGAGTAGACAGGAAGAAAAATACCCCTGCAATTTAAAGGCTGGTTAGCCACCTCAAAAAACGAGATAAGACTGATCTGTTCCCATACATTTGGCACTGGATCAAACAGCCGAACAAGTCGATCTTTGTGGCCTCTACACAGGCGCCTCCATGACCGCATCTGAGTTTCCTGGTGCAGTGAAACTGCAGAGACTTGGTCGGTTCGGTGGAAGGCGATCGTTTGTCGTGAAAATATCAAAATCAAAGTAGCTGTGTGTCCTATCGGGTACGCTGGTAACATGTACAAACTGCCCTAAGCAAAATATGTTTAATGTTCAGTCACTGGCCCTGCCTGATAAATTGCCCAAAAGAAAAGTTTTGGGAACCTATCGATTATGAGTCCTAAAAGGTGGTCCAAAATAGGTTCCATATCTCCAGGCTGAGGCTGCATTTTGGAATGATTTTGCAGGGTCGGGATATACAGCCAGAGCCAAGTGAAAAAGTCAGAAGCCCTGAAAATGATTTTGAATATGTGTCGGACAGTTTATTCTTGGATTCTTCATCCCAGAAAACAAGGCACGAGCTCATTCGGGGGGGCCTTTGTTTCACAAGGCAGGCGAGCATTTTGCATGCAGAATGTCTCTGTCAAAAGGGTTTTCAAAGCTCAGAGCGTCTTTTCCAAAACTTGGAACAAAACAAGGGGTTTGACAGAACATCTGCCATCATCTATGGGGCAATATGTCAAACAAAAAGGATTCAATAATGACTATCTTTGACAGAAAAGGCATCCAAAGGCATCCATGTGGGGAGCATCATGTGAAACAAAAAAAGTTTCACATTAAGAACAGCTGTCACAAAAGGCATCCATTTTGGGGGCATTTTGCTTTAAAAGAACTGGCTTCACATTGAGAACATCTTTCATAAAGGCATCCATATTGGGAGCATTGTGTCAAACAAAAAAGGTTCAATGTTGACAACATCTTTGACATGAAAGGCATTGGTTTTGGGGGCATCAGGTTTCAACAAAAAATAAGTTTCACGCTGAGAATTAAAAAGTGCTTGCTGAAAAGGCATCCATTTCGGGCGTTTTGCTTTAAAAGAACTGGCTTCACATTGAGACCATCTTTCATAAAGGCATCCATTTTGGGGGCATTGTGTCAAACAAAAAAGGTTCAATGTTGACAACATCTTTGACATGAAAGGCATTGGTTTTGGGGGCATCAGGTTTCAACAAAAAATAGATTTCACGCTGAGAATTAAAAAGTCTTTTCTGAAAGGCATCCATTTCGGGCGCATTTTGCTTTAAAAGAACTGGCTTCACATTGAGAACATCTTTCATAAAGGCATCCATTTTGGGGGCATTGTGTCAAACAAAAAAGGTTCAATGTTGACAACATCTTTGTCATGAAAGGCATTGGTTTTGGGGGCATCAGGTTTCAACAAAAAATAGGTTTCACGCTGAGAATTAAAAAGTCTTTGCTGAAAGGCATCCATTTCGGGGCATTTTGCTTTAAAAGAAGTGGCTTCACATTGAGACCATCTTTCATAAAGGCATCCATTTTGGGGGCATTGTGTCAAACAAAAAAGGTTCAATGTTGACAACATCTTTGACATGAAAGGCATTGGTTTTGGGGGCATCAGGTTTCAACAAAAAATAGGTTTCACGCTGAGAATTAAAAAGTCTTTGCTGAAAGGCATCCATTTCGGGGGCATTTTGCTTTAAAAGAACTGGCTTCACATTGAGAACATCTTTCATAAAGGCATCCATTTTGGGGGCATTGTGTCAAACAAAAAAGGTTCAATGTTGACAACATCTTTGACATGAAAGGCATTGGTTTTGGGGGCATCAGGTTTCAACAAAAAATAGGTTTCACGCTGAGAATTAAAAAGTCTTTGCTGAAAGGCATCCATTTCGGGGGCATTTTGCTTTAAAAGAACTGGCTTCACATTGAGAACATCTTTCATAAAGGCATCCATTTTGGGGGCATTGTGTCAAAAAAAAAGGTTCAATGTTGACAACATCTTGGACATGAAAGGCATTGGTTTTGGGGGCATCAGGTTTCAACAAAAAATAGGTTTCACGCTGAGAATTAAAAAGTCTTTGCTGAAAGGCATCCATTTCGGGGGCATTTTGCTTTAAAAGAACTGGCTTCACATTGAGAACATCTTTCATAAAGGCATCCATTTTGGGGGCATTGTGTCAAACAAAAAAAGGTTCAATGTTGACAACATCTTTGACATGAAAGGCATTGGTTTTGGGGGCATCAGGTTTCAACAAAAAATAGGTTTCACGCTGAGAATTAAAAAGTCTTTGCTGAAAGGCATCCATTTCGGGGGCATTTTGCTTTAAAAGAACTGGCTTCACATTGAGAACATCTTTCATAAAGGCCTCCATGTTGGGGGCATTGTGTCAAACAAAAAAAGGTTCAATGTTGACAACATCTTTGACATGAAAGGCATTGGTTTTGGGGGCATCAGGTTTCAACAAAAAATAGGTTTCACGCTGAGAATTAAAAAGTCTTTGCTGAAAGGCATCCATTTCGGGGGCATTTTGCTTTAAAAGAACTGGCTTCACATTGAGAACATCTTTCATAAAGGCATCCATTTTGGGGGCATTGTGTCAAACAAAAAAAGGTTCAATGTTGACAACATCTTTGACATGAAAGGCATTGGTTTTGGGGGCATCAGGTTTCAACAAAAAATCGGTTTCACGCTGAGAATTAAAAAGTCTTTGCTGAAAGGCATCCATTTCGGGGGCATTTTGCTTTAAAAGAACTGGCTTCACATTGAGAACATCTTTCATAAAGGCATCCATTTTGGGGGCATTGTGTCAAACAAAAAAGGTTCAATGTTGACAACATCTTTGACATGAAAGGCATTGGTTTTGGGGGCATCAGGTTTCAACAAAAAATCGGTTTCACGCTGAGAATTAAAAAGTCTTTGCTGAAAGGCATCCATTTCGGGGGCATTTTGCTTTAAAAGAACTGGCTTCACATTGAGAACATCTTTCATAAAGGCATCCATTTTGGGGGCATTGTGTCAAACAAAAAAGGTTCAATGTTGACAACATCTTTGACATGAAAGGCATTGGTTTTGGGGGCATCAGGTTTCAACAAAAAATAGGTTTCACGCTGAGAATTAAAAAGTCTTTGCTGAAAGGCATCCATTTCGGGGGCATTCTGTTTCAGGAAAAACAGTTTTCAATGTTGAGAACATGCCTGTCATAGAATGCATTCATTTCGGGGCGATAGTCTGTACAAAAAAGTGGTGTCTTCGGTCATGAAGGGCATCCAGTTGGGGGCACTATGATTCAGCCAAAACGGGCTTCAATGTTGAGACCATGTCTGCCATAAAAGGCATCCCTCATCCATTTTTGGGGCGCTAGTTTTCCACGCAAAAAATGTTTCAATGTTGAGACGATGTCTTCACAGTTGGGGGCTGGGGGCCAGTAGATTTTCACAAAAATGGGCCACCTTACGGCAATCACATGCAAGATCAATTATCAAAATTGTGGATCTCCACTTCACATTCCAGTCAACTATAGACTGTTTTCAAATGAAACCACCGAAATCCCTGCGCTGGCACCCTGCAAAATGGAAGTCACCCTCATGATCTACGTCGATTGCAAATCCAAATATGTCCGAATGGTGACCACATTCCAAAGCCAGAG